TTTCATTCGGCCAGTTAGCAGAGAAGAGGCAGAAACTAACGCAGCATGCACTGCCTACGACCAGCGTGCAAGCGACGCGGCTTCATATATCCCTGGCTGCCATGTTGTTATTGCCACTACTGGGCTTGTCTGGGACCAAAAAAGGACAGACTCACTCCACACACTCGACACCCATATGGAGAATGTGGACCTGCTCATTAGTGAAGAGGCACAGCAGGATATGGACCTCAAATCTGCCTTCGCGCCGACAGTCCCCCGACAACCCTTCTTTCGACTGCTGCTTGGTGATCCCAAACAGAGCCCTGGTGGAGTAGCCGATGGACAGAGAGCCCATCGCACGCTCTTACTCAAAGCTCGCATTGGGCTACGAGCCGCAATGCTCTAAAAGGCTTCAGTCCCTTCGCCTTTTTCCACCCATGCTAGTGTTCGTCACCGACCCTGCCCCAAGTTTACCTTCCCAGGTCTCGTGCAAAAGGTTGGGAAAATGGCCCTTTGCTCAGTCGCGGGTAGGTCCCCAAAGGTGTGTTTGCGTTTCTGCAAACTTAGTTTTGGCTGGCTCACAACAGGCGTGCCCCGTCAGAACGGAGGCAGCTCCCTGTCAAAAATGCCGCGTTTTTTCGTTACTATACTGTTAATGGCTGACCGAAAATTTTTGTTTGTCGTGATTGATGTCTTGGCCGCATGTCGGGAACAAGGTTTCTTGAAACTTGTTTCGTTGTTTCGTCATGGCACCTCCTTCGAACCACTGCGAAATGAAGTTGGAAGGGAGGAGGTCAAAGCAGCGCTGATTCGCGATGCCGGGGAGGCATTGTTCACCCCGGTTCCTGCCCCGTTCACCGGCAGCGCATCCTACAGTTTAGATTTGGTTGCGCTCACCCCATTTTTGCCCGGGCGCCACAGAAAACATTATTTTCGTTGTCCTTGAGGTTGCGCAGTCTATCGGAGACACGAAGGTTTCAACTGCGCCAAGCACAGCAGCTTTGGAGTGGAAACTCACAAGGCCATCCAACCAAGGTCAGCAACCATTTCCCACCCAGGAATGTTGGCGAAACCACTAACACTGGAGATGCCAGCTTGGATGCCCCGGCCCAAGCGCATGTGGCTTGGATGCCCGGGCCCAAGCGCATGTGGCGGCCCCCTGTACAGGCAATATTTTACTTCAACAACCCTGGCCGCAGCGGAAAATGCAGAACAGTGTTACCGGCCCTTTCCCCAGAAAAGTTTGGTGGCGCAGTCGGGCGCACATAATGGCACATGGCCCTTTCGGATGCAACAAATATTCGCGTTCCCCTTGCGCGTCTGTGGACAATTTAAAGCGCCCCAGGTCATGCGAGTGTAGCAGTGTGTTTGCAGTTTGCCAGTTTAAGATTTCCGCATGCATGTGAGGACAGCTGCGTCAAGTTGTGACCTGCTTTAGCTCATGCAATCGGTGCCCGGAAACGGGGCTGTGGTTTAATGATTGCCTTGCACTGCCTTGTCCTGCGCACTGCGCTGCCGCGGAAATGTGCGCGCAAACTTTTGTAAGACATTCTCCTGGTCTCCTAAACCATTGTGTTTGTTACCGTCCATGTGACCCGGGCGTTTGGTTTTCATTTTTTCGGGGTGAGGTGTAAAATTGCCGCATCATACGTGCTGACAGGGGGCTGCGCCCTGGTCGCCTCCCTCTTCAACTGAAGAAGGGCTCGATAAGGGCCTAGCTTCTTCTGTGCATGGCCCGTCTTGGCCCAGATATCGTGATGAAAATGTCGGGAGTCCAGCTATGGTTTTTGAAGGACAAGGCAGTCAGCCGTTTTTTGTCTACTCCCAAAACAGTCAGGTGCAAGGCCTTCGTAATGGAAACCTGGAGGTGTCCTTTTGTCGTTTAACAACCAGAGCTTGGTGGTGAGTGCGTCCATTCCGTTCATCACGGAGCCCATGATGGTTCGCACGCTGGCAAACAGATTGGGGGAAGAGCTGTCAGATCGAGGGGCTTGAAGAGCCAAGTGATGAGATTGAGGAGTTAAGAGGCGTCGCCTTGAGCAAGGTGATGGCCTTTGTAGCCCCAAAAGGAACCGTTCAAGAGGTTGGGCTTCGAGATGGGAGATGAGGCCAGCTCCGTGAGGCCGAGAGAGGGAGTTGAAGAACTGGCCATTCCACAAGGGCAGGACGATGAGATGGAAGAGCTTGGAGGGGCAGAGCTCCCAGGAGGAGAAGCGCCAGTCCGAGGCGGGCGCCCTTCCAAACCAGATTCGGGTGAATGATGTGGTTTTGACAAGAGTCTGGAAGCATCTTGCGCCGTCTGCAACTATCCTCCAAAAAAACGGCTGAAGAAAACTCGTTTGCCGTCACCGATGACCCAAGCATCTTGCACTTCTGCCGTCCCCAAGCTGATGCCCACCCTCTGAGGTGGATCAGCTTTAAGTCCCTGCTTTGGCTTCGAACAGGCAAACACCACTTTTGCAAAGGGACATAGCTTCTCATCATGGGCCTTGTCGAACTTCTGAGGGTTTCGAACCAATTTAATGTCCATGCTGCATGCCGACACGCCCAAGACCATAAGGGGTGCTGACTCTGACATTGAAGTGTTGTCCTCTCCGTCAAACACGCCATGAAAAGGAGTTTCTGGCCTGGGGAGATGAAATTGAGCAGGGAACCCAAGTGATCAGATGCTTTGTGGTCCCAAGCACCTCTGGACCGCGTACCTCCAGACCCTCCTTCATGGATTGATGAGCTGGCTGCTGAGGTGGAAGAACAGGGACTTTCCCGATTGGGAGTGCTCGAGGCGGAAGGGGAAAAGGTTCGATTTGGTCCAACCCCAATTCATGGAACAATTCCTGGAACAAGAAAATGGCTGGTACAAGAATGTTCTGAATCGGAATAGGAGTAGTTGGTACAACCGGAACTGCACGGGCAGAGGCAAAGGTAGCAAAGATAAAAAATCCTAAAGGCAAAAACGAGAGTATGAGTAAAAGGGTAGCGACAGTTGATAAATTCCACATTTGGGGCTCAAGAGCTGACTGTTTTCACTTGATCGAAAAGCGCCTCAACCGGGCGGTTCAATCTCTGATCACCTATACACGATCAACTGTACATACACATATATGGATGCGGAAATCTCAATCACCCCGCCTCCAGACACCAATCATCATTGGTGGATGGTTTATATGGGTAAAGCTTTCAGCTAAAGCTCCAAGGCAACAGGGCTACCCAAAGACTCATCAATCACGCGTGCTTTCAAAAGCCACGCTCATTTCGTGAACTATTTCGAATTCTCTGCTCTCAGAATCGTCAGAAAAGGGTCAGCACCATATCATATCCAGCGCTCTTGTGTTCACACCAGCATCGGCTTCATGCTCCAAACAAATATGAAAAGCACTTCCAAAACTTGCACTTGGTGATCTCAGTCACTTTATTCACCCAAGTTTTGGTCGTTGGGGCGTCTAGAACAAATCTAAACAGCACTGCTCGAAAAGAAGAAAACTTTCTTCCAGGCCACAAGTTTGAATGCCCAAGGTCTCTCAGCGCATAGCACACATATAGGCAGAGAAACAAAATGCAGAAAATGAAACTTGGCCAAAACTGCTCATTCTGCATCTCTCGCTCCAGAACCCTGTAGCCATTCAACGCACAGCTTGCATCTGCAGGATCTGAACTGTACGAAGGACTCAAGGCGCTCATTGCCAGCACTACGCGTAAAATTTGTTTTGAAACAGTGTGCGAAAAACCCAACTCGCGAATATTTCGGATTTGCTTGGAAAATGTTTCTCTGGTTTGAACTTCGTCAAAAACATCGTGTCCAACACGTTCATCGCAAGACATGTCGTAGACTCCGCACAAGTACATCAACATGCGCATCCTATCTCTATGTAATCTCTTTGTTCCAAGATCTGCCACATTCCAGCGTGTGGGGATGGTGCTCAAAAGGACTTCACCTGCTTTTACTTTTGTTTGTATCCACAAACAGCGAGTGGACAAATGTCGAACCTTTCCTACTCCTTGGCGACACATGATTTGACGCGCAGCTGTGTTGTCCATGAAGAGTTTCAGCTTCAAATCATCTAGTTCACAATGAAGCAAAAAAACAAAGGCACTGCTTGATCAGGATCGCGTCGGATGTGGCGGAAACGCCACAATACAGTTCAGCCTCCGCTGAGCTTAAAGCTATGGTCCGTTGTGTGCGATTCGAAGAATGAATCAAGCAACCATGGAAAAATACAGTTGATGCGCTCACCGATTTTCTAGTACCTTTGTGCGATGCCTAATCGCTGTCAGAGTACACCTCTAAAACAAGCTCGGAACCAGTATGGTGGAAAACGCCTTCATGGGGCTTGCAGCGAAATTGAATACCTTGATCAACACAACCTAAAAGGTACTGAACAAGGTGTCGAAGGAAAAGCATGTTCAGCTCACTAGGTTTGCTCATGTGTTGCGCTAACAGGCGGATCACATGTTGGCATTCCACAAAGTCAACAGAAATATACAGGAGAATACCGACTGCAGAACGATAGCTCTTTGCTGAGGCGGCGTCCAACGCCGCGGACTCATCTGCTTCTTCCAACATTGCATGTCCAGGGACCTTCTTAGGTTTTAACTCTCGGCCTACCTGTAGCAGCTCAAACAAACGGTCCAAATGTTTGGGATGACTTTGTATCAGAATTTCGGTTTCTGATTGCAAAATGTGGTTCTTCTTCAAAACACAGTTCGTCACCAACGTTCCTCATGACCTCAATAGCCACTTTGTAGTGGCCCTCAAACACTGGCATTAACTTCTCTGACAGAAACTTTTCGTGCACGAGACACAAAATGTCGTCGACATGCAACAGCATCAAACACTTGCTACACGCGCTACGCAACAAACAAGGGTAGGCTACACAGCTAGTCATACCAAGCTCGCGGTCAAGAATTGTGGTGATGCTCTCATACCAGAGTTGGCTCCCATCGCGTTGACCGGGGAGGACTTTACCCAGCACAAACTGTTCTGATGTGCCTGCTGCGGTTGAACAAGTTACAACAGTGGGTGTTTACTGCTCAACGGTCAGGAAAGCATCTGCCACATCTATTGCCGCTAGAACAAACCCTTGCAAACGAAGCTTCAAGAACAAGATTGGCAACAAACGAGTGGTCAGTGAACTTGATGCAGGCGAAAACAAATCTTCACGCTCTGGAGTCAGCCAAGCATATTCACGCGCCACATAGCGCGAACGACGCAACCACACATGCGCACCATTCCTCTTCTTATCCCTCCACGCCCTGACAAAACGAGTGGTCAGAGTCTTTGGGGTCACTGAGGTATCCAACTCAGAAAGAGGCAGAAGCACTCCAAGACCTTTCAGGCGTGCCATTTCAACCTTATCTGCCAGGGCGTCCAATGCCAAAAGGGAAGGTTCATCAAGCTCGGGCTCCAACGGAGTATATGGCACACACAACTGGTCCAAGGCTGCTTCAACCTCGCTCGACGAGAGCACTTCTTTTTCTGCATCAGCTAGCACTTCGACATTTTCTTGCAATTCAAATTCGTACTCTTCCAAAAGTTCAACTTCTTCATGTTCAAACTCAAAGGAAACTACTTCGTCCTCATGCTCTAGAACATTTCGATCTTGGAACAGCCGTGGTGCTTTGCTTGGGGGCACGCGCGGCGCTTTGCTAGGAGGTTCCGTTTCCAAGGCTGAAGCGTCGCGCTCACGTGTTCCTGAAGAAGCTCGAGGCACCATGACTGCAGAAGCTGGTGGAGGCATCATTCGAGGCACCATGACAGCAGAAGCTGGTGGAGGCATCATAGGCGGTCGTTGCCCCGCCTGAGCCGGCATTGCTACATCAGGGGCTTCAGGTCGAGGCACGTCATCAGGAACAACAAGTGGTGGTGTCACAGGTGCACCTTTTGGAGCTGGGTATCCTGCTGGGTTTCCTGGCGGGGCCTCATCCGGAGTTGGAGGAACATTCATGACAGCCTCAGCATCTAGATCGCGTGGCGGTGGCCGGCCGGGGTCTCTCACACTGATGGCAGGAAAAGGAGTTGGAGGAACAATTCTCTTGGCCAGAACAAGTTGAGCACCCAAAGAGGCATATCCGTAGTCCCATGGATAGCTCTCAAATCCAGCAATCACATCAGAGTTGAAAGGTGGATCGAGTCTGCGAACACTTCTTTTGACAAAAACTTTCTCCCCAACACCAATAATATGGACATCATTGTTCAAGGTCTTGCCTAGCCAAATGCCCTTGCACCACCTTGGACTTCCCTTTACCTGGGGCTTCAAAAACCCAAGGACAGTTTCACCGTACATGCAAATGCGACCAGTGTACATGCGGTCACAACATCGCTCATAAGACGTCTGGCCTTGTTGAACTGCGAAACGATTTCTCGTCCAGCCTGCGTGCAAAAGAGACCAGCAATATAGGGGATGCTGGCAGCTCACCGTGTTGGGAATTCCAAGACTTTGTTCAACCTGGCTGATGAAAAGACCAGCCTGTTGGCGAAGGATGTTCACTGTGGTTTCTGCCGCGCCATTTGATTTTGAACTACCTGGAGGCACAGGTTCAGCTCGGGCTGAGATGCCAAGCGCTCTCAACGTCTTTCGGGCAGCATCTAAAAGGCTCAAAGGTGAAGGCTCATTGTCACACCTCAGGCCTACAGCCTCATGACCAGGTAATTCAGACGACGACCTCCCTTGGCATCAGCGGGAACACAGTGCATGGCACCGGTGAATTTGTCATGAATATACAAGCCACAGAGTTTGCGATCAGCATCTGACTCGAGCCTTCCAGAGAACCCAAAGTCAAAAGAAACAACTGAGTGACCACTACGTGACTCTTCTCGAGACTCGCGCGGATGGACATCTTGCCTGCTACGTGCCCCAACGCAGAGTTCGCACCAGGATGCAAATGGGTAATGCGTCAAATTATGTTCTGCAACTACTTCAGCGCTTCGCGCCTTGGGTTGAGGCTGCGCATTTGCAGAGCGTTGGGTTTCATCCTTCAGGTTGCGCTCAGCTGCACTTGCAGAAATCAGTTCTTGTGCTTGTAGGTGTTGCCACATACGCTGGAGGCAGGTCAACTTGTTTCCTCTGGTTGAGAGTCCCAGGTGCTGGCAAGCGTCACGAAGAACCCGCAAAGGACTGTTGGTGTCCAATCTCATGCCATTCACAATGACTTCTCTGGGGTCCGCGCTGTCATCACGTTCGCGAGCGGGAACCTCTGCGTCACCTGGGGCAGCAGGGACGTCCGCAGGACGGGGAGGTGCAGCACGTTTCAACACACCAAAGTGATCGTCACTCAAGTCAAAACCAAGGTCTTCTGGAGGCAAGAGTTCAGCATGGGCAATAGTGATGACTTCCGCAATGGCTCTTGGGGCCACAATTGGAGTTGTCAAAGATTCTAGATCACTGACGCTTTCACCAAACTCGTCCAAAATCCACTCTCCGTCAATGAGCTTCACCAAGGTGGTTCGAAGCCACAAACCTTCTGCAGGACAGAGGGTCGTGTCCACATGTTGCGCTGAAAAATTCCTCAAGGCAAAAATAGTCTGGCTCACTAATTCCATCCTGGCACTAATGCAGCAAGAGCTGCACCCAAGGTTAAAACCCGCACGTGAACAGCATGCTCTAAGCTAGCTGTGACTTTAGGCTCCAAGCCACTCAGATGAGTCGACCGAGGAACATCTTGGACCATCCTGATTTCCCCATACGCACAAAGCGAGTTGTTCTTGAAATGCAAAGGTATTTCGTGAGAGGCCTTCTGGAGTGATAGCGAAGTGCTGTCACCTTGGCTACAGACGGTCCAACCGTCCTTCAAAAGCCTACCCGTCGAAATCAAGGGAGCAGTGACATTTGCAATGACAAATCTCTCGCGAAATGCCACTGATCCAAACCGGAGCTCTGCAATCCGCACGTCATGAACCCCAATGGGCTTACCTCGTGCATCTACATACTGCGAATGCCGACTATCAACATCTGATTCACCTACGTGTGCAAACGAGGAAGGGAGCACACTTCCGTCAGCTCCTGAGTCCAGAACAATTTCAACCAGTGTACCTGGTGAAGACCAGATTGCACGAACGTGTTCGTGTGACTCTTGCGAAGAATCTGTGCAAACAGAAAAACATGGTTCTAGTCCTGCGTACGTCCATTCTAAGTCGTTGTCTGAATATGTCATGTCGAAAATTCTGCAACTCATGTATTGCGTGCTCGACTGTGGTGCGTCTTCAACATTTGTGGCCGTCATGGCCTGTGAAACTACATTGCACGATCCCTCGAACGTGTCATACACCGTCAAGTCGAACACTTCGTATTCATCGAAGTCGTTGTCTGCAAGCTCTTCAATGGAGAGCAAACGAACTGCCTGCGAAGGTTGCGCAGCAGCGGTGGTCGAAGGCGCAGTGGTTGAAGGGGCTGAAGTTTGGGAAGCACTATCATCTGCAGTCACTGAGTTCACACTCTTCTTACCGCCTTTTCCATGCAAAAGCCTGCAATCTCGCTTCCAGTGACCGCTCTTTCCGCAGTAAAGGCAAACATCGGTCGAAGATGCACTTCCAGCCTTGCCTCCCTTTCCTTTTGGAGATGGAGACTGCCAGGAACCTTTACCTAGGAAACCCTTGTCTCCCTTTGGCTTACCACTCTTACCCTTTCCAATGGGGTCCCTATATTTTCCTTTCTTTCCTTGCCCTTACCTTTTGAAACAAGATCGATTTCCATGGGGGCTGGTCCATTCGAACTCGAACTATTGCTGCCAACAATGCCAAGTTCCATGTGAATATTTGAAGGAGCCCACGAGGCGGTCACGGACTCATAACCGACAACAGCTCGTCTCGTCTCAGCATAAGTGCTCGTCTCCGTAAGCTGCAGTTGGATGTGTTGGCGGATGTGTCCAGGAAGACATTTCACAAGGACTGACAGCATCAAGTCATCTGGAACTTCAGCACCGCTTGAACGTCTGTATTCATCTCGAAGGCGCTCAAGCCCTAAGACCTGTTCCAGCAAAGTTCGGTCTTTCGTGAAAGGAGGGAGGTTCATCAATGCTGACAGCAAAGAAATTGACCGACTCTTTGTCCTCGGCTTGTAGAGCTGGCTCAACTGGCGCCAGGCTTCAAAGCCGTTGCGCTCACTAATCTGCAGTATCATGCGAAGTGGTTTTCCTCGAAGAAGGCCTGTCAGAATTGAATACAGTTGCCTGCATCTCACCTGAACCTCAGGCGATTCGCCACCAACTTCAATGGAGTTCTGAATGTTCCCTTCAATGCGTTGAAAGTCACCTTCAAAGCGAATGTCACTATAGAAAAGCCAAGCTTTGAAGTTTGCGGCAAATTCAGCGAATTTGGAAGTTTCACTGTCACTATCCCCAGAATCACTCCCAAAAGGATCCGGCTGCCGAACAACCTTGCTCGCTTCAGTGAATTTTTGCTGGGGTCTCTCCTGACTTGCTCGCAATGCCGCAGCTGCGTCCGCTGCTGCTTGAGCAGCTTGTGTGGCCGCTTGCGCCAGCTGCCCGATCTCAACGGGCGAAAGGCCAGCCATGCTCCCTGGTCGACGTTGACTCACAATCCAATGGCTTCGAATGAACTACAGGCCTACAGACCTAAGGGCGCTACCTAGAAAGAAAAGGACCCTCGGATGCCCTGGCACAGGTGGCTCAGGGCTCCGTGACTGTTTTCACTTGATCGAAAAGCGCCTCAACCGGGCGGTTCAATCTCTGATCACCTATACACGATCAACTGTACATACACATATATGGATGCGGAAATCTCAATCAAGAGCGCCAGCCCGATTATTCTGCGGACATCGATGCTCGCGCTCTCTCTTTCTCTCTTCTTTTTTTTTTGCTCGGTTCTTTTCCTCAAGCTGCATCCAGCCGCGGCCCTGTGGCCAAAAGCGGCACTGAGTAAGGCTCATTCGCCTTAGACCCAGTCTTCTCGACAGCCTCAAGGCTGGAGGTATCCTAAGACAACAGCGCCTCCAGGAGGACGTACCTGCCATCAACGTCCTCAGCTCTCAGAGCTCTTCGGCCCAAAATGCAGCTTTGTCTGACCTTTTGCTTTCAGACAATGGTGGTGCACCCACTGCTGCACGCGCCCTTCAACAACTCTGCAACTTTTGTGACATTGCTGACACTCAATCCATCGGCCTCTCCTTGCTAATCGATGGCTTGGGTGAATGCGAAGGCGCAAATTGAGGCCTGCTTCATCAACTGGGCCTGTCAAGCACTCCTTGTCAATCAACTGTTGGAGCTGTTGCTTGCTGCTTTTCCTGGGGACCCGCTCCCAACACAGCCGGCAGCCAAAGTTGCTGCCCTGCAGAGCCCATCGATGCCCTGGGTGGCCCTCCCCAAGGAGGTCTGAGCTATCCACTAATTCCACCATCTGTTGCTCCAAGGTCCTCTCAACATACCCTCTACATACTGTGTCCTGAAGGTGGGCAATCTCTGCATGTGTTGCGCACCCTTTGATCTTTTTGTTGCAATGCTTGCATTGGACACCTGGCTTGTAGATCTCCCACTCATGGTTGCCTGGATTTGCCGCCCTCAGAGTCAGCTGCCGCAGGATGGCCAATCTGCCACGAGCTGGCTTGAGTTTGGCTGCTGGAGGGCCACTCTCTTGGGCTGGTTCCAGCTTGCCATTCATGTAGTGGTCCTTGTCTTGCAGCATGTGACTGATTCGCTTGGCTGCAGTCATGTAGACTTCAAAGTGGAGCTGGTCCTCGATCACTAAGTCCTTTTCCAAGGACGTTGGCTGCTCTTGCTGAGCCCTTTGATGTGCCAGTTGCTTGGCCAGAAGATACTGCTGACGGCCCCTGTCATTGCTAGCTTGTCGCTTCATCATTTTCCACGGCACTTGGAGTAGCTGCAGCCTTTTCCACTCATCTGCGGGCAAGTTGTGCCACAGGTCTGGAGCCACTCGGCCTGCCGCACCTTTTTGAATCGCCGACCAGCCAGCTGGGTGAGGAATGTTCAGCTGATGCCTCCCCAGGACCATTTGAAGGACCAGCCAGCACCCAAAGAACCATGCCCTTGCTTCACTGCTTTGACCTGGGGCGATTGCAGTGCACAACCCAATGACATTCCACGAGTCAACCTGCCACTGCATTGCAACCACCGCAACTGCATATCGTCTCAGCCTCAGGTCTCTGCTGGTCTGCTGCACCCCAATGGCAAGCCTTTGATGTGGACCAATCCTCACAGGCCATCCATGACTGAAGATGCCATCAACTCGACAAGAATCAGCGCCCTCACATGGATCAAACGCCGGCATTTCAATTAGGCCTCGTGCCCAGAGCATTGTATTCTCATTGGCTGCAATCATCTGCTTCCACTCTTGCGGCAACTCATCTTGGTGGTATTTGCATTGCCAAATCAGGTGCTTCATACTCACTGGGACCTGACACAAAGGGCACATCATCCTCTCTCCACCGTAGTGAGCTCGCAGGGAGCCTTGTGTCCATGCATTGATGGCAGCCTTCTGGCCACTGGGAGCTTTTTGCATGGCTTTCCTGTAGATGCTCCAGTCAGGCCTCCGCATCAGGGGAAAGGCATGCTCCAGCTCCTGAATCCTGCGGGCCCTCTGATTGTCCATCTCAATCTTCAGCTGCCTTTGAAGATAGGGCCACGGGAACTCCAAGTTCAGCTGAGCCGGAGGCAGGATGCCAGTCGGTGCACGGACCCAATCATTGAGACTGCTGGCATCCCATCCCATGTCCATCATGTACACCTGAAGTGCAGCCATGGGCCCTGTGACCACCATCCAAGGATAGGCTGCAGCTTTGAGCCTTCGCCAGCTCACTCTCCATGCTGTGTGGAGCTCCGCAAGCTGCTCCGGAGGCCAATTGAGCACCAGCAAATGCATGGCCTTGAGCTGTCTTTCAACCACAGTAGCCAGTGGGTCTTGCAGCTTTCCATTCTGGTCATACACAACGTCCACACTACCTCCCTTCTGAAGACCTCCATGCCTGGCCAGCTGAGTACGGAGGGTCTGGAGGCGCTGGGGCGCAATGCCCTGAGCTTCCAATCCATAACACGCTGCTGAGTGTACAGACGTCTTCCACACTCTAATACGAATGGGCCGGGCCTTGATCTTCAGATGCGACAGCTTGGCATTGCGTCGACCAGCCTTGAGAAGCCTTTTCTGCTGGTTGCCAATCCTCCTCCGACGACCCCCACTTGAATCCAGGCCTAAATCTTTCAAGAGCTCGTGAACATTGGGTTGGCCCTCTTTGCGCAGCAGGGTGATCTCCCTCTTGCAGTCATTCGAGGAAGCCAGGTAGCCTGTCTTGGCTAGAGACATCTGCAATCCAGCATCTGTAAGCCGTTGCTGCAGTACATCAAAGCCATGCAGGGCTTCTTGACACACAGCTTGCACACTGTCGCCAACAAAGTCAATGGAAATGTCATCAACCCACACATCAATGGAAGCTTTATGGAACTGCTCCTTGAACGGGCCCAAAACTGGTGCTAAGATCAACTTGGCTACCAACGGAGCGGCAGGGCATCCAGCCAGGATCCCTTTGGAGCATGTCACCGGTCTGGAGGTGACTTGTTCGCCTTGGAGCAGCCTTGGCCCGGTGTACACTTCGTAGACCATGTTCATCACTGCCGGGGTAAAATCCAAAGGCTCCCATGCTTCCAACAGTTGCTCCAAAACCACACTGTCATAGAAGCATTGAAGGTCGACCAGGAGCGACACCACATGCTTCCCAGTGGCACGGCCTACCTCACACTTCAACAATCTCATGAGGGCGACCTGAAGGACTTGCGTGCCCGGCACACTGCGCTCCCAACTGAGTTTTTGCCCAACACTGGTCTGCCATGGTCGCAGTTTGTCCCATCTCAAGCGGCACCATGTCCTGTAGAGCACACTCGTCAGCGAGATGGGCCTCTCAATGTCTTCCTTTTTTGGGAGCAACAGTACCAATGTCGTGCGGACTTGCTCAGGAAGCCGACCTTCAAGTTCCCACTTCCTGTACATATTGCACAGGGCAGTTACCCCTTCAATGGGCAGGGCCTTCAGCAAAGCATAACTCACGCCATCCGGGCCAGAGGCTTTTTGAGGCAGCTTGCGGAGCTGTTTCATCACTTGATGTGGGTCGAGATCTTCCCATTGCCGAGCTTGCACAATGCCCTCATATCTCAATCGCTCTCTCTCCCCACTAGCCTTGGGCTTGTCAACAACTTGCCACATGCCAAACCACTGTGTCTCCCTCATTTGCTGTCGCTGCTGAACCGGCACCTGACGGAAAGGCCTGACATGAACAGCATCTGGGGCCTTCAAACATTTGTAGATGCCACTGTGACCCCGGAGGGTTGCTTGAGAAAGCCAGTTTTGGTACTCCTCTGCTTGCCGACCCATCGCCAGTTTTTGAGCGTGCTCTTTGTTGCAATCAGCTCCTTGGATCAGCAGGGTGATCGGGACATCAGCACCATTGATAAGCTCTTGCAATCCAGCTTGGAAATCCTCAAGGCCATGGATGTCCTGCCACCTGCTTCGAAGGTCAGCAGCTTTGGCCCTCAGGTGCGCCAAGGTGCCAACACTGATGTGGCCTCGCTGGGCCACATGCTGCAACAAAGAGCTCATCTGCCCCCAGTAGGCTAAGTCCCCTCTGCGCCACGGTGTCAGTGGTTTCGTCTTAGCCAGCGGCTTGATTTCCAAGGCCAGATACCAACCTCTGCCAAACTTAGGTTGGTGCAGCTGTTGTAAGGCAAACTGCTCAGCCTGGTGACAGAATTCAGCACATTGTATCTCTTTGGGTCCAACCGGCATGCCAAGCCAGAACGGCTTTGGTGAGGGTTCAAATTGATCCCACGGCTTCTCAGCCTCTTCCATCTTGGGCACAGGGGCAAAGTTCGTCAGTTGCTGCAGGGCCAACCTAGGCGCTTCCTGTGCCACATGGACCATCAATCCTGCATGCGGTTTCCATGGGACATCCCAGTTGACTTTAATGTCCAGGTAGGGAGCAATGGCCCTGCTGGCAACTATGTAGTCAATCTCCGCACCATTGATCATGGTTGGCTGGCCACTGCTCACCACTTCAGCTTTCAAAACATTCAGGAGATTGTGGCTGTCCCATTGTGCAGGCGGTACTTGAAAGTCCCCAATCAGGAGCCATGGGATGGCCAGTTCTTGGACCAGAGCAGCCATCTGGCCCAGCACTCTAGCATTGGCCACAGAGTTCAGGTCCTCCCCACACTTGAGGTAAACGGAGACGACACAAAGCTCCCAGTTCTGTCGCTGGATCACATTGGCCAGGAAGCCATTGCCCTCATAGTCGAATTGATGCAGCTTGTAGGCCGCCTGGCCCTCCCTGCAGCAAAAGGCATGACCACCACTAGTGCCGCCACGCCCTGTTTCATGGGCTGCCATGAAAGTGGGCAGCCACCTGGAGCGACACAGGTCACTCATAGCTGCTTCCATCTTTTTGCCTGCTATGTGTGTCTCCACCATCATCACCATTTGCAGGTCTTGCTGAATGAGCCATTGGAAGACTTCTTTGTTCCACTGTGTCACATTACCATAGAAGATTTGCACATC